GGAGTCTTACACTCTTATCACAATCCATCCTTCCATTGTGTCAAGCACCTTTGTATATATATATTGCCATCATCATTTTCAAAACATTGTCTTTCTACTTGAGCCCTTGGTATCAGCTCATTTCTCCCCCTTCCCCACCTTCCCACCCTCCCTCATGAACCCTTGATAATTTATAAATTATTATTTTTTTCCAACTGCACATCTTTATGGGAGTAGAAAGTCTCATCTTACTCCCCAGGACAATCAGTAGTTTCAAACTGCTCACCTTGTGGTTAGCAACCCACTGAGTAACCCACCATGCCACCAGGGCTCCTCAGCAACCTTATCCAGGGTTGGTCAAACTGTACACCTTTACAGAGCAGCTGGTAGGTCTGGATTGCAGATCCTGAGTTTAACAGCCCAGGGCCTAACTCATAGCACCACAAGACTCAAACACAAACCAAAACCCACTGCCCACCCTAGAGGACAGGGGAGAACCACCCCTGTGGGTTTCCAGGACTGTAACTAGCTACAGGAGTAGAAAGCCTCATCTTTCTCCCATGGAGTGGCTGGTGGTTTCAAACTGCTCACCTTGAGGCTGGCGGCCCAATGAGTAACCCACCAGACCACCAGGGCAGTCTGATTCCAGACGGTTAGTGGCTCGGAAACCCTGTGAGGGCATTCTCCTGTCAGAATCAACTCGTCAGCGATGAGTTTCACAGGCGCCAGAGTTGTTTCTGATCCAGAAGGAAGCACTGCCCGGTCCTGTACCAGCCTCGCAATGGCTCCTGGGCCTGAGCCCGTGGTGGCCGCCACTGGTCAGTCCATCGTGTCGAGGGCCTTCCTCTCTGTCGCTGCCCCTCCACTCTCCCAAGCAGGACGTCCTTCTCCAGGGACCGGTCTCTCCTGACGACATGTCCAACGCGTGTCAGATGAAGTCTCACCATCCTTGCCTCTAAGGAGCACTCTGGCTGTACTTCTTCCGAGACAGATGGGTTTCATGTGCATGTGTTTGTGTATATTTATATATATGTGTGTGTGTGTGTACATATGGGGGGGTGCTGGGGGTGCAATTTGTTTAGCATTGGGAAGCTTCCAATCACAAGGTCAGTGGTTCATACCTGTAGTATTAAATTTAAAAATTGGCATGAGGGAATGGGGTGCCAGCCCCACCGGCTACTAGAACTCACGGGTTCAGTAATACTACTTCTGGGTTCAGTAATGCACAATTGTACAATTGAGATATATAAATATTATATTAAAGTCATCAAGAGCATGAGAGATATTACAATAATACAGTCAGACACATTACATGATAGCATTGCTCACCTCAGCCCATGGTGGTCCACGTGGAGAGAGAGGGAAAGGAAGGAGGGCAAGGGAACAAGGGAGAGGGGAGTGACCAGGGAGTGAGCAGCAAGGAGCTCAGAGTCCGAGAGAGCTCTATATTGCTGACTCACACCTATATACCTTTTGGGGGCATGCCAGCCCACTAATTACAGGTAGAGACATACATCACAGGAAGGGGCTGCACTATAGGCTACACAGCAATGAGAGGGTGGTCTAGGGGGTGGTCTCTGGGTCTCCATAGGAACCATTATCAGTAGGGTGAAAACTCCTCCTACAGGAGCCTGTCCATTGTCCCCAGAGGCAGGGACCAGGCCCACCTCTATGGAGGGATAAGACAGCAGTCTGGCAACTGATTGCCTTCAGGGGAGGGAATGCCTGCGCATATGACCTCCCCCCACATACCCACCAGCAGCTCTGTAGGAGAGAGATGAGGCTGTCTACTCCCATAGATTTTTATAGTATCAAGAACCCTATGGAGCTGTTCAACTCCCTCCTATAGGGTCACTATGAGTCAGAATCAACTCACAGCAGCAGTGGGTTTGAATACCCCAGGCACTCTGTAGGGAAAAGATGGGGCAGTCAGTTTTTTTTGCGAAGACTTGTAGCTTTAGAAGCCCCATAAGACAGTTTTACTCTGTTCTACAGGGTGGCTGTGAGTCAGAATCAACTTGGTGGTAATGAGTGATGTGTCCCAAAATATTGTTACTTGTTTTATACCATTTTCTGTATATGAAATCCAGGCTATTTCTACAGAGGCAGTAGCTGGATTGATCATTGTCTAGGGGTGTGGCAGAGGAGAGGATGCAATGGGGCGCTAACCACAAGGAGCATGAGAAGAAACGTTCTAAAACTGACTGTGGTGATGATTGCACACATTTTCTTCATATGATTGAATGATTACATTGTATATGAGAAGCATAGGCCAATGAAACTATTAAAGAAGAAAAGAAAATCTTACAAGGGTTCCGGTTCAGACAGACCTGGGTTGAATTCCCAATGTGTGTCAACATGGCTCTGTGATCAGTGGGTGGCAGCAGGAAACTTCTCTCTGGAATGCATGTCTCCGTCTCAGTAAGGTGCCCTCAAATTAAAAGTTCGATAAAAACAGTGGCTGCTGAAGGGATCTGCTCATTCAGTCACTTCCACCAAGTCGATGCCGACTCATTAGCGACACTATAGACAGTGCAGGACTGCCCCCTGGGAGTTTCCGAGACTGTAACTCTTTATGGGAGTTGAAAAACCCTGTCTTTCTCACGCTGAGCCGCTGGTGGTTTTGAACTGCTGACCTTGCAGTTAGTAGCCCAACTTGAAACCACTGCACTACCGGGACTCGGGGGTTCTGCTAGGTCAGTTAAGTTCAAGGCAAAGAAGTCAGCTCAGAAGGTTGGAGCAACCATGTTTGGGGATTCCCAAGGGGTAATTTGGATAGATTGTTCTCAAAGGACACAGGACAATAATGAAGGCTTACTATGAAGAAGCTTAAAGGGAATTGGAAGCCGCATGGGTTCGAAAAAGGCCAAGGCATTTACAGAGATACTTTTCCATCACAACACAGCAGCTGCTGCAGCTGCGAGAGTAGCAAGGGCTAGCTTATGTTGGGAAACCTTACCCCATCCATCTTCAGCCCTGCTCTTGCCCAAAGAGCCTTGAAAAGAAGCGCATTTGAGTGCCTAGAGAATGCCCAAGTGCCCTTTGGACGTGGTATGAATCACAGAATGCAGGATTCTGTGGGGGAAGAGTTAGAGCAACATCGACGCTGCCTTCCCAAGTGTGCAGACCTAGGTAGAGCTTTTGCTCAGAAACCGTGGCTTTACATTGTCTTACTTTTGTGTATTAAAGGTACCTATCATGTTGTAGTAATACATGCTTACTTAAACACACACTCACACACCAAGGAGCCCTGGTGGCATAGCAGCCATTGGGCTGCTAATCCTAAGGTCATCAGTTCTAGCCCACCAGCTCCTCCTTAGGGGGAAAAAGAGACTTTCTGTTCCCATCAAGATTTCCAGGCTCAGAGACCCACAGGGGCAAGATCTACTCTGTCCTAGAGGGTCGCTATGAATCAGAAGAGATTCCCTGTGACTGTCAGATAAATGTGTGTGTGTAGGCACACACATATACTCTTTAATAAGTTTGGTAGGTGGCACAGTTGGGGCTCAATTGCTAACCTACATGTTGGTAGGTCAAGAGAAAGGCCTGATGACCAGCCGCCACTGTGTCCCACATGGGGTTGCCCTGAGTGGGAACTGACTAGACCCCAACTAACATCTGCAACGGGTGCTTCAGCTAGGTGTGTAGTGGAATTCCTGGGCCAGAGGAGGCACGCGTATTCAGCTGTAGCACAGACCAGTTTTCAAACTGGGGTGAATCTTCTACACTTGCCCCGCCGTGTGGATCAGAGTCGCAGCGGCTCCACATTCTCACCAGCCCATTTCTCAGAGAAGGCAACTGAGACTCCAAGAGAGAGGCTGCCTCCTGATCGGTGAGGGACTCTGAGTCCTCCCCAGAAGCCTGCTGCCATCTGCTCTCCCCTCAGCATCCTGGCCCTGCTGTGCCCTCCCAGCCTGATGGTGGGTGGGTGGGACAGACAGGGTCACGTGTACTTGGGTTCAGCAGGAGGAAACCGGGCAGGGTGCAGACAGCGGCTGCGTCTAGGGCAGATCAGGATATCGAGGTAAGAGAGTCTGTGGAGGGAGTGTGTGCGCCCCCAGGGAGGTCCCTAGAGGCAGAGCTGAGAGTGGAAGGTGCGGAAATGAGGGGGACACGTAGGCAAACAACAGACCAAACCGTCAATCTCTCATTCCCCAGGGCACCCCTCACCATGGATCCACCGCCCCCGTGCCGAGCGGCCGAGCCCCAGCCTGAAGCCCCTACCCCACTGAGCTCCTACCACTGGCACACAGGGAGTGGTGGAGAGAAGGGGGCTAGAGGGTCCCGCTGGGGCCGTCTCACAGGCTGGGGACGGGCGCTGAGCAACCCGGAGCCCACGGTACACAGCCAGCCAGCATCGCGCTCGCTGTTCCGTCGCGTCCTCTCTGCGCCCCCCAAGGAGACACGGACCAGCCGCCTCAAGGTATCCAAGACCCTCTGGAGGAGGCATAAGAGCCCACCGCTGGAGCCAGAGCCGGAGCCAGAGTCCCCAGGTACATGGCTCCCCCATGCTGAGCCTGGGCCAGGCCAGGGAGGCCGGATACTTGGGTTTCGTCTGCCTCCGGAGCACCAGCCCTACAGACACAGGAAGTTGTGGGGACGGCAAAAGCTCAGCAGGAAATTGCTGGGGCCCCCACTGCCCTCTTCCCTCTTTCCACCTAACTCAGGGCCTGAGAGTGCCAACAATGGCCAGGGAGCTGGGGCCCCAGGGGCCGTAGCCCCACTTTTGCATTATTCAGATATCAAATGGCTCTCGGCCCTGATAGATCTCTCATATCCAGTGGACCAGGCTGATCCTCTCCTGCCTGGGTTTCTATCTCAGCCGCCTCCTACTCCCCAGCCTCATCATTTTCTGTGCATTTAAATACTTTGGGCCTTAGGTTGGTTCTTTATGTAGGGGGCCACAGCTGCTGTCTTATAATCTTGAATCTGCTTACTGCCTTGGTTAAGACACAGAAGGGTTCCGTCTGAAGCCTGACTCAACCACTCCCAAGCTGTGTGACCCTGGCCAAGTCACTCAAACTCTCTGGGCCTCAGTGGCCTTCTTGGTTAAAAGGAGCAGTGTGCCATGGCTGTTGGAGGATTAAATGAGAGACACTCCAAAGGACAGTTAACACAGTACGGGGTGGGGGTGGGGGGGGTCATAGTAGGTGCCAGTGTTCAAATGCCAAATGGCTCTCACCCCCAGGGGGGGCGGGGGTCTCTTCTCAGATCTGGTAGCTCAGGCTTGGATATCTGTCTCTGCTGCTGCCTGCACTTCTGTCCCCACATTTCCATATCTTAGTTTCTTCGTCTCCTTGAGCCTCAGTGTCCCCCACAGTCAAATGGACATAATTACCCATGGTCAGTGGGGGCCGGGCTCAGAGAGGAGTACAGACTTGTCCAAGGTCACCCTGTGGCTGTTGAGGACTCCTGATGAGCCCCGATAAATGGAGAGGGGGACATGGCAGAGGGAGGAGAGGACTCCTAGGTCCCCAGTGCCTCCTCCTCTGCCCAGAGCCAAAGCTGGAGCCAGAAGCAGAGCCTCCTGCCCCACAGATCCCCGAAGCTCCTGCACCCGATGTGCCTGTCTGGGACATTGGGGGCTTCACCCTGCTCGATGGAAGACTGGTGCTGCTTGGGGGTGAGGAGGAGGTGAGAGAGAAACATGAGTGGGGGGTGGGGGCAGGATTTGAGAAAGACTGCCTGCCTCTCTGATCTGACTGTCCTTTGGGGGAGACAGGGTCTCCGGCAATCCCGGGCAGAGAGTGGGGGTTCTGAGACCAGCGTCCAGACAGTGATGGGGAACCTCAGGGATCCAGGTAAACTGACGGAGGGGAGAGGGCTGGGGTGTTTGGGAGGCTCACAAGCTAAGCTGATCCCCAAACCCCACCTTCCCATGCCTGACCACCACCTACAGATCGGATGCCAGGAAGAACTGAACCAGAGGCTGCCGGTCCCACCCAGGTCCACAATGTGAGGGTGAGGCAGCCAGCAGAGGTGGGAGGTGTTGGGGCGTCAAAGACGCCACATTCCGCGGAACTGAAAGGGGATTCTTCGGTGGAGCTGATAAAAGAGGCTCTCTCTCAAGGCTGTTTAGGGGAACTCAAGGAAGAATGCAGGAAAGCCTAAGTAGGTGCTTTAGAAACAGGAACGGTTATTTGCCCTTATTGTTATTCGTGTTAATGCAGCCTGAGCTTGTGGTCCTCCAAGACCAGCAGATCCTCCCAAAACCATCTGTGGGGGAAGAAAGAACCCAGGACGAAAGCACAGGTCTGCCCCGTTGACATCCTCTTCCACAGGGATTACTCAAGAGGCTGAAAGAGAAGAAAAAGGCCAAGCCGGACCTGGGCGCCCGGGATGGGTAAGGGCCTCTGGGTCTGGGGAGTCTGGAGTTCAGTATGGCCCACCCCCCTCTTTCATTTAGACCAGGAGTCCTCAAGCTTTTCAAACAGGGAACCAGTTCACTGTCCCTCAGACCCATTGGAGGGCCAGACTATAGTTTAAAAAATAACTATGAACAAATTCCTATGCACGCTGCACATGTCTTATTTTGAAGTGAAAAAATAAAGGGGAAAAACACCCGGCGGGCCGCATGTGGCCCGCGGGCCGTAGTTTGAGGACCCCTGATTTAGACCTTCATCAAATGTTGCCTCTCACCCCTTCCGTGCACTATCCCATGTTGGGCAACACTAAAACAAAAACTCACTGCCATACAGTCCCTCGGACTCATGGGGACTCTGTAGGACAGAGCAGAACTGTCCCTGTGGGTTTCTGAGACTGTATCTTTGGAGAAACAGAAAGCCTCATCTTTCTCCCAAAAAGTGGTTGGTGATTTCAAACTGCCAGCCTTCTGGTTAACAGCCCAATGAGTAACTCACTATGCCACCAGGGCAACACTCCCCAAGCCAAATCAAAGTCATTGTCATCGAGTCAATGCCAACTCATGGCGACCCTATAGGACAGGGAAAAACTGCGCCTGTGAGTTTCTGAGACTGTAATTCTTTGACCTTGTGATTAAGCAGTCCAGGGCCACACTAGGGGCATATCTATCAAGATCCTTCATGGATTCAACCTTCAGCCAGTCAGGATGAAACAAGCTAAATCAACACTCTCATCTGGGAGTGCCAAGGGAAGCGTCCCCAGTAAGTGACTCCTGAGCTGAGATCTGAAGGGTGGGTGGAAGTTAATGAGGCCAAGAGGGGCAGGGAAAGTAGCCTAGAAGGAACAGCGTATGCAAAAGCCAAGAGGCTAGAAGGAACTTTGCATATTCAAGGGGTGGAAAGAAGGCAGATGTGGTTGGAGCCCAGAGAGTGAGAGAAGGGGCAGAGGGTGATGTGATCGACAGGTGACAAGGGTTGGACCGTGTAGGGTCATGTAGGATGCCACCGAGAGTTTGGGGAGTCTCCCAACTGAGAGCATGAAGAGCCACTGGGGGCGTGGAGGGCAGGAAGTCATAGGATCCAATTTAAGATAAAGACAGTCCTGCGGTGTGTGTGTGTGTGTGGGTGTGTGTGTGTGGGTGTGGGTGTGTCTGTTTTCTCATTCACCCTGCCCCAGGCCACCCAGTGCTTCAGGCTCCCGGGAATCTCTGGCCACTCTTTCTGAGCTGGACCTGGGTGCCGAGCGGGACGTCCGGGTCTGGCCGCTGCACCCTAGCCTGCTGGGAGAACCCCACAGCTTCCAGGTAAGTAGACATGTGCAACCCTCCACTTTGGTCTCCACCCCTGGCTGCAAGCCCACCCCTGGGCCCTTGTCCCAACAGGTTACGTGGGAGGGCGGGAGCCGCTGCTTCTCCTGTCGCTCAGCTGCTGAGAGGGACCGCTGGATCGAGGACCTCCGTTGCCACTTCCAGCCCAGCCAGGTCAGGGCTCTGCAGAAGTCCCACCCAGCTCGTGAGGACCGTCCCTCTCCCCGACCCCCGCCAAACCACGCCCACATCTTTAGCTACTGCTCTTCTGTCCAACGTCATTCAGTGCCGGCCCCAAAGCCCCGCCTACTAGGCACTAGCTACCGCCCCTCTCTACTCAGTGGCTCTAGACTCGGGGTCTCATTTCTCAGGCGGTTAGGAGTTGCCCTCCTACCAATTCCAGCTCCTGGCGACCCTGTGTGGGCAGAATAGAACAGCTCCATTGGGTTCAAGGCTGGGAGACCCGAAAGCCGATCTCCAGACCGCTATTCCGAGGCCCCTCTGGGTGGGTTTGCATTAACTACCTTAATGATGGAGCTCTTAATCATTTGTGACACTCGTGGTTTCTTGCTTTCTAAAGGAGACCTTCCAAAAGTTAGAGGGCTTCCTTGTAGCCACATGGAGGACCCT